CACCGGATTACCAAAGAAAAATAAATAAATGATTTCAAACACCAAAACCAAGGGCTCTTTCCTGTGACGATGCTCACTGTAAAGATCTCGATCGCCCTTCCTCCATTTCACTCTCTTCTACTTTCTTTAATCTTCATCTTCCTCAATTCTTCATATTATTTTTTTTATTTTTTCGGTTGTTATTTTCTGCAATCTACTTTTTGTGTTGGTCGGGTCGGTTTTTGATCGTTTTGAATGAAACCTATCATAATGCTTTACTCATATCTAGGTCTGTCCACCCGGCCCGGCCCGACCCGGCCCGGCCCGGATTTCCGGGCCCGGGCCCGACCGGGCCGGGTTCCGGGCTGGCCCGGATTTTTTCCCTTTTTTTTTTATTTTTTTAAATTTTTTAGATTTTATTTAAATTTTAAATTATAAAAAAAAAAGAATTATTTTCAAAATAATTCTTTACAAATTTTAAGCTAAGGCCTAAGATATAAAAATTACAATTTATTCTTTATATCTATCTGCTAGTCTCAATTCTTCAAATTTATCTTCAATTCCTGTCATCCGATCGATGCCGTGCATTCGCTTCTCGTACCTCCACCAATCTTGTAAGCACATCACCGCTTGTACAGTGTACGGATCTAAGCATGTCCTGTGATCGTCGATCAAACATCCCGCTGTGCCGAAGGCGGATTCCGAAGCTACCGTCGAAACATGCACTGTTAGTAAGTCACGAACCATGGTGGAAAGTATAGGATATGAAACTGATCCATATACTTTCCACCATTGCAAAATATCTAAAGCATTTCCTTGACATTTAACTAAAGAAGTAGATAAATAGTCATCTATTTCAAAAACCTCCAATGATGACGATCTAAGTCCAGATCCACCAGTTAGCTCAGCTACCATTGCATATCTATTAAAACTTACACTTTTACCTCGGGATAAGCTCGAAGAAACCGAAGCTGTAGACTGTTGTGCAGCTACACCATGTCTAGCTGCATACTCATCATATAATGTTTGAAAATAATTTCTAATAGCTAAATGATGAGTAGTAGCAGTAAGGGTGGTTCCATCATCTAAGTCTATAATCTGATTACCATACAAGGATTGTAACAAACTTCGAAGGCCAATATCCTTCAAGCATGGATCAATAAGAACCCCCAAATTAAAAATATGAGGAATAGGCCTAAAGTACTTATTAAATTTGCTCTCCATTTGAAAAATCATAGATCCAAAAGTCTCATCCATACGATATTTCCCAAAAAAAATTTGAATATTTAAAATTTGTAAAGCAGCTAAAGTAATGGTTGGATAATAACAGCCAGATAATAACATTGTAGCATCATAAAAAACTTGTAACATTTCATTTAAATTACATATAACTGTTCATTCATCTTCAGTTATGTCATAAGTGCTACCAGAACTAGAACTAGAAGCATAATAGTTTATAAAATCAGTTAAAATGTCTTTATATTCTATTGCTACACTTAACATTGCATAGGTGGAATTCCACCTATGGTCAACATCTTTTGGAATTAGTCTAGGCTTTACATTTTTTCTTTTACAAAATTGTTTCCATCTTTTAAGTCTTTGTTCAGAAGCACTATGCATGTAAGCAACTGTTCTAACCTTTTCTATCATGGGTTTAATTTCAGTAAATGCACTTTGAACAATTAAATTTAAAATATGACAGATGCACCTAATATGAAAAAGATCACCATGACATGGCAATGATAAAGTTGATCTGATAAAATCAACAGCTACATTGTTATTACTTGCATTATCTAGTGAAAGAGAAAATATTCTTTCTGAAATTTCTAATTTCATAAGTTCTTCAATTATTAAATTTGCAACATTAGCACCAGTATGTGACTCTTCTATTGCAATAAAAGAAACAACTCTTTTAAACATTTGCCAATTTTCATCAATCCAGTGTGCTGTGATACATAAATATCCAGTTTGTGCTCTAGATGTCCAAATATCAGAAGTTAAAGAAAATTTACAGTTTAAATTTTTAAAATAAGAAATTATTTTTCCTTGTTCCTCCTGATAATATTTTAAAATATCACGTTGACAGGTTTGACGAGAAATTTTTTTAAATGCAGGATAAAAACCATCTCTAAACATATCTTCAAATTCATCATCTTCTACTAATTTAAAAGGAAGGTTTTTAAGAATGATAAACCTGATTACGTATTTCCTGGCTCTAGCAGCGTCATAGTTCCAACTACCGAGACTACCAGAAGAGGAGGATTGAGAAATCATAGATTGTCGAATATCACCTTTAGGAGTCTGGCCTTTGTTGTGTTTATCTAAATGGCGTTTAAGGTGGTTGGTGCCGCTCTTATGATGAGCTTGAAAAATCTTGCCGCACAACGCACACTTAGCCTTCTGAGTGAGGATCCTACCGTGTTCATCCTTGGTGATGTCGATCTTCTCGTAAAAATTACACACATCGGATCTTGGCCTTTTAGGAGCTCTTGGTGTAGATTCGTCGCCACCGGATTCAGGATTAACTTCGGTAGGAGTAGACCCAGTAGAAGGACTCATTTCAGGATTGGGAGATAGGTTTTGCTCTTCATAATCAGATCCGGAAACCATTTGATGAAAGGATTAGAAAGTATGAATAAGAGAGTATAAGAGTATAAGAGAGAGTATAAGAGAGAAGTAGATGAGTTTTGGTATGAAGAAAACAAATGAAAACCCCTCTCTATTTATAGAACCAGCCCCCTAAGCAAATGACCAAAATAACCTCACAAAATAGCCGTTTTTTGACCGTTTTTGGGGACAAAATGGTCAAACGGACGTTTATGCCCGCCTTGCCGTTTTGGCACAACGAATCACTCTGGTGACCGTTGTGTCCGGCCCCGGCCCGGGCTAGCCCGGCCCGGCCCGGGTTTTTTCCGGTAACGGTCACCACTGTGATCGTTGCCACCGGCCGGCTCGGGCCGGGCGCCCGGCTCGGCACTTTTGCCCGGCTCCGGCCCTGTTCCGGGCCGGACCGGGCCCGGACCGGGCGTCGTTGAGTCAATCCGGACCCGGGCCCGGAACCCGGCCTGGCCCGGGCCGGCGGGTTTTTTGGACAGGCCTACTCATATCTAATTTAAACGCCAAGCATCCTTTTCTACCATATTTTTTCCCACTTCAAATTATGCATAGTTTCAAAAGCTACAAAGACATTGTCAGTTATGTTTTTTCCCAGCACAAAAGCACTCTAAGCTTCATACATTATCTCCGGGAGGATCCCCTCCCCTCCAATCTATTTGCAAAAGGTTTTGAAATCAGTTTATACATAACATAACGTAAACTAATCGGTCTAAAATCCCATACAATCTCAGGAGCAATTCTCTTTAGAACCAAACAAATATGAGTATGGTTTGAATTATTCAGCATGACACCGGACACTGCAATGCCGCTCTTGTTACATCTCCACCAACAAATATGAGCATGGGGAACGTCGCCATTTGTGAACCGCCCGCAGGACCGTATCCATGCTCCTTGCTCCCCCTGAACTGGAAACTTGTCTCAAAACAATCCAATACCATACTTTCAATCGCTTTTTTTCCTCTTCTTGCCAAAGCCATCCTCATCCTTTAATCTTTTAATTAATCTCATTCTTCAAGTACCAGGTGCTGTGACGTGTAGAACCGTACATTACAAGTACGATGCCATTGTAAAAAGGTGACAATTTGAAAAATATTGCCATGCTAACCAAATATTGCATGAATATATTGAATATAGGACCGTTACATAAATTTATGCCAGTAAGGCAATATAATACCGAGCATTTATTGTATAAAATTATTTTTCTTTGTTTCTATTAGAGTAGGTTTTTTCTTCAATAAATTAAATACTTTTTAAGCAAGAAGAATATCCGTAACATTATGGTCCAGGGCTTCCTGTATTTAATTGCTTGACGCCTAGGAGCATGCAACAGAAGTAGAGAAACGAAGGGAACAGATATTAAACAGGGAGGAATAGAAAAGCGCGAGAGGAGAGAAGCTATATGCAGCGGTAAAAAATTAACACACTAGATCGATTTTTTTGGGTTTGGCCAGGGAACTTCCCCGTGGTCCTTCGAATCATTGGCATCATCAAATCCCCAAACGCCGCCCAAAACAGATGGCCTCTAGTACTTCTGGGAATTATATTCTTCTAGATGCTCCCTAAGAGAGTACAACTTAAGAGTTTGGACTTCGGAGTACTACCCATAGCAGCTTATCAACTCAGCTAGAACCTCTTAGTTAAACTAGATATATTTTTGAGTTTTGAGCTTTCTTACTAGTGGAATTAATGACAAAAAAGGAAAGTAAGTAATCAAACAAATTAGTTATAGAAGTTGATGATGCATTAAATTCTAAGGGTACTTATTTTACATTTCACTTTTACATCTGGAAAATAGGTGGTAACTTTAACACATTCATTCCTCACTTTATATAAACAGATATCCCCTAATTAACAAGACCAATATTTCATGAATTTATCCATTTTGTTTCCTATCTTTTGCTATACATCCATACGTTCATCATAACATCTTATTTCCACTACACTCAACATTCGTACATGTTTTTTCTTAATTGCTCGGTCTTCCGATTCATGCCAATATATTGCAAATGATTGATTATGATGGGTTGATCGATCTCTGTCACACATGACCAAATTATCTCCACAAATTCTGTCGCTTTATCCTTCACAGGAAAATCTCAACTCCAAATATGTCCATTTCATCTCAATCATGATGTAAAAAAAAATGAAAAGATTATGATTATAGGAGAGAGACCGACGAGAACTTCGTGGAAACAATTAAGATGGATACAGTGATGATTGACTTAACAAAGAAGATTGGAAGAAAAATTGGGGGCAAAACCTTTTTGTTGTTATCGTGGCCATTGTATAGCCAACGGAAATACAAGCGTACAAGCAATTGTAATTGACAAATATAAAGTGAAAAGGTAAGCAAAGTTTGTACATATATAGGCCATTAAAAAAAAGAAAGAAAACCCACACGCACATAGAAAGATCAACTTCTCAGGCAACCAATACCTAAATTGTCCTCATATTTGCATTCCCAAAGCAGAAAATGGAACAGCCATTTAACTCATTTAGCGCAGTCCTAAAGAACAAGGTGCTCAATTTACACCCTTATAACACAACGTCAAAGATACACGTCTATAGATTATTCTGAAAATAGGCAACGCGCAAAAGGATCCTTAAGAACTCCCATAAAAGTACAAAGGATGCCTTGCTTATTCTTCATTCAGTTTGTTACAAGCATATTTTGCTCAGGGCTCAAACACACTACATACCTCTCAGCTTTCCTTCTTTATAAACTGGAAGAGGTCTCAAACACCATGCTCTCAGCTTCCTTCTTTATCGACTGGAAGAGAACCGAGGAAAGATATCGCTCTCCAAAGCTGGGGAAAACAACCTGCACCAAAAGCATGAGGTGAAATTATTTGCAAGAATGAGCATGAAGAAAATAATGTTCACGAGCTCAATTGAAGTCGACGAACATCACTACGCTTTTACACCCATATATTTATTTACTTTCCTTAGGCTATAATGCAGAACATTTCATATACTACATACACTTTAAGTTTCAGATACAAAGTTTATTTTAGAAGCTTGAAGAAACTTATCCACATCATTAAAGAGATGGACGGATTATTTTTGAAAGTTTGCGGGGGCGGGGGGGGGGGGGGGGGCACAAGTTAGGAATCCTTAGGGTAGATTCTAACATGAACTTTGGGTGGGGGTGGGGAGTTGCATAAACTGCCATAAAGTAGTTCGAGTTGGAATGTATACTGTAGCTCAAGTGTCTCCCTTGTTCCAGTCTGAAGTGCAGGCAGTGGTAGAGATCATCCAATTCATGTTGATTAAAGATCTTCCTCTGCATGTTTGGTCATATGCAGTCCTGCTGAAATACTAAAAATTGTAGATATTTGCATTTGGGTTGTATTCCTTGATGTAGGAGGATTATATAGAAGTCTTATGTATAGATGTATTCAGCATGTTTTTGGATACACAACCAATCTTTTGGGAAAGAAGTAATAGCGGCTGGAGCCTCATTATTGAGGTTTGATCCTTGCCTACAAAGGGGAAAAAACCTGCCATAAAGTATTATTACGGAAACTAACATGAACGTTAAATACTGCAGAAAAACACATGAACTATACTGTCAATGGCTTGGGTCATAAAATTAGGAGATTTTGTTTTAATTTTCATTTTTGGGGTGTGGTGTGGTAATAATACAGAAGATGCACAAAGTACATACGGAAAATTGTCCAAAATGCCACTGTCAGCCTTGATAGTTTAGTGAAAAAAGTCGACTGAGTTATCTTTAACAAATAAAGATTTATCGTGGTTTTGTGCAAAAGCCCCCAAGTTCATGCAAATTTTGTGAAATTTACCCAAGTCCTAAACATTAGGTCGGCTATCTCAACTATACGAAAAGGTTATTTTTAATATTGAGTTGTTTTCAAGTTTCATGAAGAAACAATGGATATAGTCAGGAAAAAGTTAGGTAATTTACCACAATTAGTTTTCCTTCATTCTCCGGACGATGTGCAATCTTAATGGCAGCTGCTG